AAAGGAGCATGCCTATACACGGAAGAAGGCTTTAGACAGACCAGAGAGTGCTTTAAAAACTGCTGTAGTTTGTAGTGAGTATAAGCAATACATCTATTTGCTTTGGAGGTGATTTTGTGAAATTTTTGTGAAATGGCTTCAGCAGTATGTGATGCCAGCCCTTAGCAAAAGTCATCCTACAATCTACTTTAAGCCTCAGATGAAATTATTTTTGCAGGGGGCAGAAGCGAGGGGTGGGAAGGGGTGCAGGAGAATTTGGGTGACAAGTGAAAACAACTTGCCTAGAAACCTTGTTTATCCTAGAAACCTTGTTAGAAGAGAATCTAATTTGTCAAGGTCCTGTGCAACAGCAGAGAACCTATACAGCAATTTAAGTGAAGGCTATGAGTAAAATGAATGTGGCAACATAGCCTGTGGAAATTAACATGAAGGCAGACATTCTTCAGACTTTCAAACAATAAAACATCCAGATCCTAAAATTTTATGTGAGAGAAATTACTTAGTTTATATTTCCCATTTCAGTTTTGCAATTACAAGCTGATCTAATATTACGGTTGCTTAACATAATATTATGAAATACTACTGTAACATGTAAATGTCTATATGGAAATATGTAATTTCATTTCTTTTACAAGAAATTAATCAGTAGGAAAAAAATTTTCAAGTATCTGTCAGTGTTTGACAAAAAGCTCATCTGTAATTGAGACCATATACATTTGTGAATTCAAGTTACTTGAACAGAGAAATATCTTAAACATTTTGATCTTGTAACAATGAAAACAAAAAATTAAAGTGTCAAAGTCAGAGTATCAGTGTATTTTCCCTGACCTTCTAGAAAGACTGAATACAGTCTGCAAATGCAGTTGGAAGATCATACTTAAGTGTACACTAAAAAGCCTTTCTCCTGTTGGGAAGGTTAGGTTCTATAACAATCTCTGTATGCTTGTCTTGGAAAAATAACAACTTCAGGTTCTTCCCATCTGTATATAAGAATATTCAAATGAACCAAGGCCACTGGATTTCTTGCTAAACTGAATTTCTTATTCCTTAGGATCTTTAAATGACAAATGCTAAGAAAGTACAAATATAAAATGCAACCCAACTTCACAACCACATTGAAGTGGCAGAGCTCACCACACCACCAGCAACCAAAATAGTAATTTAGCAACAAACAGAATTAGAGCTGAAATGTATTTTGGAGTCAGCCTGGAAAGTATGCAAAGAGTGAGAACAAGAAACTTCCTGTTCATCTAACACATGAAAGTTTTTTCCAGGCAGAGCTCTGAAATCACCATTTCTAACCAATAAAAACCCCTGACTTTTACAACACAATTGTTTCTGTAAAACTCTACCTGGGAAAAGTATAATAAAAACCTTTTCTTTCAAAGATTTTTCCCTCTCCTACCAGAAAAAAAAAATCACCAGTAACAGGAATTCCCTGAACAACTGGCACACTTTGAAGTTGCTATCGCTTTTATTTCACAGACCACCACCTGTCACTGTAAACGTTATCAGCTAATTGCACCAAGAGAGCATTGTACCAGCAGGTGTATTTACCTACGTTGATTCCAACTGTCAGGGGGGAAAAAAAAAAGAAGAGAATGAAAACACAGCAAATATTGTTAAATGCACAAACATCTAAAGACGTTTGCTGCCTGACACAGCAGCTCGAACAATAATAACAAAGCTAGTCATAAAATCCTGAGATTCTGCCACATCTGCTCCACGGACATTTCAGGAATGTTCTTTTGCTGTAAATTTAATGGAACTTACGTGGAGGAATGAACAGACCCCCCAGTGAGAACATTTGTATTTCAGTGCTTAACATATAACATACTACTTGTATCTTAGAGCTAAATTGTATTTAACTGTATCATTGATGTTTCCTCACCCACACAGACTACAGGTAATAGAACCGAAATCCTACACATATTCTCTGTGTCAAAACAAGGATGAACAGAGTTGTTAATGAGTTACAACAGTCATGCAATAACTAAACCCAAACAACAAATGCTAATAAGAATTTCTAAGGTAAAAAGCAAATCAGCACGGCTGTTGTTTTTACCCTGTGAAGACATAATAGAGTCACTCCAGTTTATATAGTATTATTTGTAGATTCTGTCTGAAAGACCAACACTGAATTCTCTCAAAATCTGAATTATTCCTGATTGAGGCAGTTACAGATGAAAGGATGTATTTCAGTGGTAACCTACAAACAAGGTAGGGAAAGGACAGGGAAGTTTACAAAACATTGTCAGGGTTCATATAGATTGCTTTATTAAAGAACAATTCAGTGGCATGCAAAAACATGGCATTGTTGGCTTTATTAGTCAGACCATTGAGCTAAGATTCTTTTTCTGTCCACATTGGATGAAGCAATAATTTGGTAAGAAGTTTTAGAAATAGAAAAAGGCAGGATAGCTAGAAGCTAATGAACTTAAAACACAGTTGGACTTAAAAAAACCCCCACAACTTTATAGACAGGATGCATTCAACTGTACCACTAACTTGCAAATACTCATATTCTGTGTAGGTTTTTTCTGCATTTTGTAGTAAAAGTTCAAGAGTAAAAACTTAAAAATACAAAATTCCTTGAAATCAGAAACAGTAAGATTTTTTTTTTTGCAACCACAGCAGAAACTGTCATACAGTTTTTGCTTACTTTTGGCAAGGGTTTGTACTTGTAAAAGCTTTCTTAAAAAACCTCATGTGTCTGCTAAGCGTAAGAGAACAGCATTACTACCAACAACCTTTAAAGGAATATTCTTAATACAAAATATTAAGCAAGTTATTTTTTAAATTCAGAATTCTGTCCATAACATCAGAACAGCACATGTATAAATATTATGATTTAATATACTGTCAAATTAACAATTAAAATAGTTTACACAAACTAACCATTTCATTTATGATAACTTATTCAGCATGACAAAGCAACCTACATTATTAAACCACATGTATTAGTACATACGTCTCATGGAGACAAGTTAATGTATAGATGAGCTAACTATGCAGCAAGTTAGAACTGTAACTTAGTGACTTCAGGTACACTGTTATAGTACGCATGATCTTTCAGCATGGGCACTCATAGCCTCTAGAAGCATACAGTAGCTAGCACAGAATGCCATAAGCACTCTAGAAAGCAAGCCACGGATGTTCCCAACCTCTCTCAAAAATGAATCCTGGTGGATTCAGCTGCAGCAGTTTGAGACATTACCACTCAGCTGCCAGTACTGCACCTTCTATGTTCACAATCCACAATGATATCTCCAAAGTAGCAATCATTGGGATTTTATTAACCTATTTGCATTTGACTGCCCGAGTTATCTGAAGATACAGCAGCCACAGCAGAAGGGTTGTAGGTAGGACAGGTAGAAAACTTACCTTAAGCCACTGCAGATATATTCAGTTAGAGTTTCGACTAAAGCTTGTTGTGGCCTACAGTGAACTCTGTGCTATGAAGTGCTCTAAAGATCCAGTGACAAAAGTGAATCCCCAAATAAATTACTTTGTTGATGAAGTTCAAAAGCAGGCCACTAATGATGGCTATACTAGTTTGAACGTTTTTCCCCAACTTTCCAAGATACCAACTCAGAACATAAGGCAATCATCATTCTAAAGCACAGTACACAAACATCTAAACAACCTTCCTTATAAATGATACATTAAGGTGTGCTTTTATTACCCAATGATTTTATTCAAGTAGACAAAGAATAATTAAAGTGTTTATGACAAGACATGCTCATTTTACTTGCTCCCCCTTTTTTAACTTTTCCTAGCTCAAGTTTAGCAAAGATTCGATCAAATGACCAGCAAGCCACCAAGTTAAGAAACAATCAAACAGATCTTCAAATACCTATGGAACAATCCTCAAGATGCTGAAGTTCTATTACAAATGAATCCTGGTACCTCTAGACACAGAAAGAGGAAGTGACACACACAGCTTCGTCAGCTGTAGGTAACTGTCATGCTGTAGGTATGCAACTGCTCTTTGCAGGGGTAGATGTGCTACAGAAAAGGGCAAGTGCACAGCATATTAGTGACAAGCAAATCACTGTGATTAAGATTTATAACTTAACTTCCATTACAAAAAAAGGTGACATGAAGATTTCCACCTGTCTTCACATCCAGTTAGAGTCAATGCAATACTCCTTGAAGGCTTGTTCTACCAGGGATGTTTGGATATCCTCTCTACTCAAATGTATTCTCACCTGTTGTGAATCAGTCTAGAAACGTCCACCAGGAGATGCTCCCTATCTCTTAATTAAAGCTTTGAAATCTGCTCCATTACTCTTCGACCCCCTTTCCTTGCTTGTCAGCATCTACATGCAATTTTCTTTTCAAGAGAAAAGAAAACCTGGACTAAATCTTAGAAAGACAATTAAATATTCTCAAAATAAGCCTCACGTGTAGAGGCAGAGCCCCTCCTGCTCCCTGCCTTTTATTCCAGATTTCTGCCAAATATGTTTTTAAATGGCAAAGCAAAGGTCCAGTTCAATGTTTACTATTCATCACTTTTGGCTACTTAGTTCTTATGAAAACAGAAAGACTATAAAAGCCATTAGAGACTTGGTCTCTTTGCATGCATATGACCACCAGTTCACTTTTTGAGCTCTCTTTGAAAGTTTTTCTTCCAGTGACCAAAGCTCTACTTTCCCCAAAAAGCAGGTGAAACCTGGCATTACTTGGAAGTAAATATATAACAGACAACTTTTTGTGGCATTTAGAACCACAGTTTGATTGCCAGGTTTGCAAAAGTTTAAAAATTGAGTTAGGATGTAAGGTAATGCCTACTAAATTCATGACTTAAGGGACCTCAGCAACGAAGCACATCAATTTCAGCCATTTCATTTAGATGTAGATTTTTAAACAGAGATGAATTGCCTATGCTAACTGTGAAAGTGTCAGCACTAACTATAATTTTGGAACTATGTTTACTTCACCCAAACTACATAGAGTCATTTTTTTAAATCTTGCTTTAGATTATAGTACCAGTCTACAATCATTTAGAAATAAGTTGCCAAGATAATTACAGATTAAGCTTAGTTGCACTACACAAAGCCATAATAAAGTAGAATATATTAAAAACAGTGAAGTAGTAGCTGCACCATCAACATACCTTTGTACTCATTCACATGATTATGCAACAGTGAAAATAAACAACCATTTTAAAAAGTAACACCTGGGGAACCTTAGCAGTTTCCTCCTCTAAGTTTAGATGTCAATAGGACAAAAGAAATTAAATGCAATCTACTACTTGCTCAGTTGGCTGACTTAGCAAAGGGCTAGAAACCATGAAGTGAAACTGAGTGAATCCTGGAATTTTATTACATGCAGCACCTAGGAAAGAAAGAAAAAAAAAAAGTATAATTTGCTAAATTTAAGATTAGTGTCTTTGTCATTGTACTTTAATATCTAAAAACCCAGTTACTAATTCTACTACAATGGTGTAATTATTCTTTTACAATCTGTTTAACCCAAGACATCTTGAAAGTATTTAATTTTTAGGTAAGAATACAGTGCTACTGACTGCTGTAGTGCAATTAATGTCCTTATAATACAATTCAAAACAGTAACATAAGTTATGAAAATATCTCTCTCTCTTTCAGTCGTGATTAACTTAATGAGTTCCTCCAACACTAATCTCTTAAACACAGAACTATGAGAAATAAGAGATCAAAGAACAGCAATAAGCAATCTAACCAAATAAGCCATGTTGATTAGCAAATTGTATTTCCTACTAATCTAAGAGTTCACTAATGAGATGCCTGGCACAATGACTGATCTTGGACTGCTTTGAAGCTATGCTTAACATTCACATTCTCCCTGCCTTATGCCGTATCTAGGGGAGGCATAAGCATTCTTTTTTAAAACCTTCAAATTAATCATGCTCAATCCAGGAAAACATTTGAAGGTTGTAAATATTTTTGATTTTTACTAAGACTTGCATAAATTTTGTGAAAGCCTAAGACATCAAAATGCAGAGGAAAAATTAAAATATGTCAAGTCCACACCAGGACACAGTTGCCTTGCTAACCAGCATTTGATATTATAAATGGCCAGTATTGCTGCAGTGTTCAAAGAATAATTAAAGACTTCTGCTTTAAAATCCACCTTTGGTTCTGTGCTTCTGTGACCTAGTTAGGGTCAACAAGCTTTGACTGTTAAGCAAAATACATACCATAACTTCCAGTTGTATTGGCACATATAACAGCGCCAAAGAACTTTGGAGCATACTTCTGGATTCTGGAAATAACTTTCTGACAGGCTACCGTTGGGTCTGTTCCCATCCTCATATACTCCACAGCTTGATAACTAGAAAAAAAACAATCCCACACCCAGACAGTTAGCCATACTCAGGTTATACATTCTAAAATACCATTGAGAGACCTTGATTTCCTTGAATAGTGGAAACACATGACAAATAATCTCTAAGCAAACCTCCTATTGGCAATTACTCAAGTTCTACATGAAAAGTAATTAGAAACAGGACTAAAACGACCTCTGATATTACATTACTGATAAATTATTTATTTCAGTAAGCATTAAAAAATCTTTCAGAAAAAACTTCAGTTTCTGAAAAACCTCAATATTGACACATTTTCTTTATTTCATGAATATGAAGGTACAATGTTTTGATCAAGACTTTGAGCCACTTTCAAATTTTTTACAAGCCAATTTAAAAAAAATTCTTACTCTAAATGAAAGAGTTATCAAAATGAACTTCCTTTGTATCGACAGTATCATTAAATGACTATATGGGCATTGCTTGAGATTAATCAGTTGCATTTCCAGAATGTCCTCAGAGGCAAAAAAATTACTTTTGTTGTCATTTTCTTTCAGAGCCTGAAGATTAAAAGATAACGCATAATATAACTTACAAGCAAACAACACTGGATTTTGTTTTGATGAAAGATGCATATACTAAGACCAACTCTTGTTACACTAAGACTCATCTACAGACAGCATTAGCTATAGATGTTATCAAAGTACTGCAGAAGAGAACTTTCCTTGCAATCTGAAACTCCCTATTATCTTTGATTTATTCTAGCAATCAAATAGGTTCAAGTTATCTAAAGATACCTATCTGAATATAAAGCCGTATTTCATAGGGGTCTCTTCACTAATCAAAAGCTCAGTAAGGTGTTACTATCTCAAAGAAGGCAGACAGAAAATATTAGCAATTTTGCCCTTTATTTGGCATTTCCTTCTCTTCTGGCAGTTCAATTCTATTCTTTGTTTTCATGTGGGAATATCTAAACAACATGGAATTAGGAAAGATCTGTATCCACAAGGAACCTGTGATTAACCACCTAGTCTGAGTTGTTTTCTAAAACCCGTTGGTGCCAATACAGAATGTTTTAAGCATTACAGCCAAATCCTTCAGGCTGCTAAACTGTAATGTAAGCTTTTATTGATTAACCTCATAGTGGAGCTCACTACTACTATTGGTATCTGATACTTCAGGATAATTCATGAAGTTGTCAATTACTTTTTATTTCAAGACTGGCTTGGAACAGCTTGAAACTCACTGAGGACATTTGTAAATATGCAACAGCTAGTAGCCATTCATAACTGCCAGAGTTTCAGAAACAACACCTGAGTAATATGAAGGCCACTGCTATATATTCCTTCAAGCACCAGTGCCTATTATGTTCAGCACGGACCTCCATAACTCATTAAAAAACGACCCACAAGAATGACTGTCAAGACTCAGTGATGAAAACAGCCATATTTTATGCAGGTTATGCAACCACCACGACAGCATTAAAACACCTCTTCCAGTTTCAAATTAGATACAATTACATAGGATTGTTACAGTGACACCGCCCCACCCTCCTGAGTAATCCAAGACTCACCCCTCATCCTTTCAATAATTTATAACACTTCTTTCCCACACAACAAAACACTTTCAAGGAGAAAGCTAATCAGTTCTGTTAAAAAGCATGCAGGTTGGGAATATGCTCATTACCTGCTGCTTGTTTGCTCACAGCTTGGCTCACAATATTAAGGGATCTGTCATCAAGGTATGTAAGAAGTCACTTCTTTTAAGACAGATCATAAGGATGATTTGATTCTGCTACTGTTCTTTCCCCTTCCATTCCTTCCTTTACTCCCATTTCAGCAACCAGTAAGTCACACTGGCTTTTTAATCAATCACTTCATTTGCCGAGTTCACATTTTGCTAGAGAAAGTCAGCAAAGTCTGGCCTAAGGACAAACCTGGGTAAGAAGCGCATCATGATGTCACCATCCCCAGTAGCTGCAGCTCCTCCGGCTGTACTATCTGCATAGGATCCTGCTCCAGCTATTGGAGAATCTCCTACACGGCTGTAGTGAACAACGGAAAAAACCCAAAAAAACTGGAAACTATAGAAAACTGTAATTTACTAACTCCAGTGGGATTGCATTAATGTAATAGCTCTTGGCCTGATATTGACACATTCTTATGACTGGGGCACACTTTTAATTTTGTCAACCTTACTGCCTCCAGCTGTTAGCATTAAAGCCACAGGAGAACAGAACAGGTAAAGAGGTCACTCCACTGCAGTCTTGCAGACAAGAAGTCTTGTCTTAAAACTACCGATAAAAGTGATCTGTGATAACCTGACTGACCTGAGGCTTAATCCACCTCCAATGCACAACTGTTTGTTATTATACTGAGTATAGTTAGTATAAGGCAGTAAGGTTTAGCCAGTGGGCAACAGTAAGTAGCTGGGGACATTAATATGTTCAATAACTTGTTGCTAAATACAGAAGTTGTCTGACTCTGTTGACAGACAAGATTCCTAACTGGGTAGAAAAAAAACCTGAAAGACAAAATACAGGCCTGGGGCTCTGATTCTATGTACATTTCTTTGGAGACTGTGCCCCTCTCCAAAATGCTTATTTGTCTCTGGTGCCTGGCCTTACAAGTTGCCTCACAACTGTGCCAGTTGTTTGTGTCCCTGTATGGTGAATTAAGCAAGCTGAAAAACAAGCATTCCCTCAAACAAACACAAATCATCTTGCAACTGATTCAGTTTCTCAGTATTAGGATTTATGGCAGTGCCCAGAAATAAGCAAGGCCGTTTTGTGATCATCGCAGTCTAAAACATATAACCTTTAGATAAGCTTACTATAGGAAATGAAGTGGGGAAAAAAGCTTTTTTTATAAAACCAGAGATACTAACCCTGGAATTTTGTGGCCTGCACCATTAGTAGATGTCCCAGAAGCAACGGTTCCGCTCCCACCGATTACAACCATACCTGAAATTTTCAAGAGGAATGAAACATACTCAGAAATACTCCTAACAAATTTATTAAATTGGCACTATGGTTATCAAACAGAACCACAATACCCAGACTATTCAAATTACTGATATCCTGAAATATAAAAAAATCGTACTCTTAAAGAAAACAAGTTCTTTTTAAAACACATTTGGAAACTTTTTTGATGTATTAAAACAGCTCAAAAAGGAATCTAAAACAGTGAGTGCCACCCTGTTCAGAGCTGTACGTTACTGCTGCACAAACAGCCACTGTCTCCTGATATACACCTATGTTAATCAGTAGAGCACAAGTACCTGGTGTCACCACCATCAGGACAAAGTTTGGAAATTATAAATGATGCTTGAGGGAGATTAAAAAAAAGCAGAAGGATGAGCTTAGATTTGGCAGAAGGTGAAATACTACCTAACAAGAACTACATGACGGGCAATCAAATGTGTGGATGAGTCTACCCCTTGCTAATTTTGTACTGATAAGGAAGCCACTGCCTCACATTAGAGAAGCTTAGATTGCCACTTGGAACAGGATTTGGGATCAGCTGCTTCTCCATAGAGTAAGACTTCACCTCTTTAAGAGAGGGCAGAAATTGTTCCTGGCATCAAACTCCAGTACACAGTGAGAGGCAAAAGCAGAATTCAAAGAGCTGAATCCTGGTTCTCTGACCTCACTAAGCAGTACCTCCTTCTCATAGAAAAGTTTCCTGACCAGTAGAAGCTAAAAGCATAGAGGCCCTGACTCTATGGCCACCATCAGCCTCTGCAAAAAGACTGGAAGGGCATCAGTTCCTACCAACTTCCTAAATCCTTTCTGAATGAAGACTCTTCTCAAAATGTATTAGTCAAGGCAACATTTCATATATAAAACAACAGGGTGGGAGAATTTGGAAGTACAGATATAAGCACCATCATTTACTACAAAACAGCTTAGGACTACTTAATGATACATCAATTCCTGAATTGTATTTAGCAGATTTCCCTCTCACCCTGACACTCCATAATTTCTGAGTTTTCTTGCGCATACTGAAGACTATATATCCCAGTAAAGAAATCTATGTACCAACTTAAGAATTTGGTAGGTTGCCTGACTTCTGTAGAACATTAATTGGTTATTAGTAGGGTGGACAGGAAGCAAAGAAGAAAGATTCACACTTGAAACAACTTGTTAATTCTTGGTATTGCAAATACTGTCAGGCAGAAAGTTCTACAAAGTATAAAGCTTTGAAAGACATGATCTGTAACTGCTCCAGTCCTTTGTCTGATCTGCTCATTAATCAGCTTATAGGCTTAGCAATTAACAGTCCTCAATCTGTAAACTCTTACAAGTTTTTGGCACTACTACTGCTAACCTGTTTTAAGCATAGTAGTTTCTGTAGAAATTTATTGGTTTATTTAAAAGCCAGAATAGAAGAAAAATGAAAGCAAGCTTTATTTTATAATTTTAAGGACTGTTCGACAAACATTGCTTTTGGTTGGCAACAGGACTAACTGTTACTCATTTCTTCCACCACTGCAATGACTTTTAAGTTGGTCTGACAGCTACAGGGGAGACTCGACCTAAGTTAACCACAATCAAGATAAAAATAATTATTTTTCATCTTGATCAGTTTTATAAGCATCCATAGCTGCCCAAGCAATTATGCCAAGGTATCTGAGGGAAAAGCAGTAGGACAATGAACAAATAGCTAAGGGCAAAGAATGATGCAAGTGGCTGTGCAGCCAGTGCACTGGAAAAACAAAAACAAAAACAAATCCTACTTTTAGGCACTCTATCCTGACATAAGTAACAGAATCTTGAAACCACTATAAATAGGAAATAATGCCTATATGAAATACTTTTCTTTAAACTCAATATGATTTAATCTGTAGGGGAATGAGAAAAAAAAAATCAGCATCAGAGTTACCAAAAGTTGTTACCAATAGTATCATGATTATGAACACTTCTTTGTGAGATGTTCTGTTCTTCTTTATAAGTTACTTTTTCAGGCCGTTTGTATGGTCCACAGGATTTTGAAGAGTCTGGTACCACATTCTGTAATTATTTTGTGATTTGCATGAATAATATATTATGCTTCATTACAGATAAATTTAAAAATACTACAGTCAATACCTATAATCTACTACACAGGTATCAGATGCCCAATACTTAAATTATACAGCTGTACTGAAATCCCGCAAGTTGTTTCGCTTAAAGAATAAAGACTGACTTCTGGTATTACACGGTAAAAAGTTTTGCCTACTAGAAAATTATGTTGTTCAAATTAAAGATTCTCCTTCGCTCAACTGACTGCTAAAAAAAAAAATTTCATTCTTCAGCAAAATGAAGAAAATTTTCAAGGTAAAAAACCAACCAGATGAACTGAGCTTGTTTTACTGATGTCAAGTGAAGATATTATTGTCAAGTCAGAATCACAGTCAAGGTATTTTCCCAACTGAAAAACAGAGTATGTACTGAATTGGTTCAGCAATGCAGCATTTCATATCCAAGAAACAATGAAGACAGTGTACAAACATGTAGAAATCTGCAACAGCAATCCAAAAACAAAAAAACAAAACAAAACAACAAACCAACCTCACCACAATAGGCAAGTTTAACGGACAGCTGCACTAATCTGATGTGTTCACAAGTCTGCATAAAGCCTAACTATTTAAGGACCTTAATTGCTACTGTAAGATTTTATTTCAGAAATTTATACATGTATCAAAAAATACATGCACTGCTTTGTTTAGTTTGAGAAGTCCTGTCCAAATTTAGAGCTAAAAAAAAACATAATTCCCACACCAAAACGCTACTGCAGCAAGGTCAAAACCAGCAGGATCTAGACACATACTCCTCCCGAGTCTACCAAATGCTTGGTAATTCCAAGTTTGTTCTGTTCAATAAGGAAAACTTTTTTTTTCCTTCACATGTAAAGCACAGCTTCAATATAAGCTGAAAGGAAGAGGCAATGCTGCATTACTGACTTTCTAAACCCCCCCTTCACCATCACCACTGCACTGTACCTTCCAGTAGTTTGGCTGACAGCTTTGATTAAGCCACTTCGAATACACCGAAAGAGATTTTTGGGTTGTTAAATCTTCATATGGAAACCCCATTCTTACAGCAAACAGGGAGGCTTGAAAAGCAACAACAAAACAAAAAACATTAATTTATTCACATTTTTATGTATTTTATGATAATGCATTCATGTAATGTTAGCTAGAAATCAAGAAATTCTACATTCTCTATGGAGATGAGAAATATGTCTTCAGGGAGCAGTATGAGCCTTTATAGTGATGTACAACTGCAGTAACAAACTCTCCCTTCACTGGCAATATCAAATTTCCTCAATTCACTATAACTATGTTAACACATTTAAGTTTTACCATTGAAAAAGAAACAAATTCAACTCTATTAATCACCTGGACACAAATAACCTGGAGCAAGAGTGGCCTGGGCTGTGTGTGTCAGAAATATTTAAATAAATGGTACAAATAATAGCGTATTTTCCTTAAAAAGCTAATCTTTTGTGAAATGTAAGTAACATAGCGGCACAACATTTGCCACTAAAACATTGATATTTGCAGAAATCAATCCACCAACTTACATCATATTACACTTCTTCCTTGCACTTTAAAAGTGACTGCTTCCTTGTTTTGAAAATTAATATAGTATGTGTCAAGGGACCAAAAGAAATACCAACACAAGCAATGAAAGAATGCTTTTATAGTTAGAGAAAGGGAAAAGAAAAAAGATCAACTGTCCTTTCATCTTTTAGTTGTAGATACCTTTGGTATTACCTAGTAACAGATACTGTGCTAGATTCAGATCTTTGAACAATTTATATTACCGATCCTTGATAATAATGTCACTATAATACACAGCTGAACAAGCTTCTCCAGTCCAAGGACTAAGAAAAGCCTTCAATTATTTCTGGACAGCTTTTCTGTGTTTTTCTTAAAAACTGACACAATTAAAGTCTCTTTGCACTCAGAGCAAAAGAAAACTGACAGCTTCAATTAAACAGATATTTATTTTCCCATTTCTAGAACAAACAGGCAGGGGTTTTTTGCGTTTTTTTTTGTTTGTTTGTTTTTTGTTTTGGTTTTGTTTGTTGGGGGGGTTTTGTTTGGTTTTTGTTTTTATTTTTTTTTAAAGGTAAAATTGTGCTTGTGCATGTTTGTTAGTCGTTCTTTCATGACTTTTGAAGCCTTGTTTCTATTCCAGGAAGCAGAGTTGGTCATTTTTACTCTCTGAACTTTTTACTTGCATTAGTGGTCTAAGTATTGCTAGGACAAAAGGGAAAACATCAGGCACACTGTGATTATGAAACTTTCCTATCTATTGTAGATAAACCTGAACATTTTTTGGCAGATGATAACCAAAATTATTCTTTTTTTTCCTCACTTGTAATCATTCTGCACTGAATGCCCCTCACCAGACTCAGTTCTACATTGGTATACATGGCCTTTACTGCCAGTTTTCTATGACCTTTCCTAAAGAAATTAGGCAACGAATGCAAGAACTGATCAGTGTGGTTATCTGTATCTGTTCAACAAAAGCTACACCAACTCATTTTTATGTACACCACTGTCATTATAAACCTTAGCTGTAAAAACACACCAGCTTTGTTTATATTCTGGCTTACATCTACAACAGCAAGAGTAAAATAAGACATCAGGTTTGACTTGCATGAGTTTTTTTGTTCAAGATAGATTTTATCACAACCACACTGTCATCCTTTTTATTGAGTAAGGCTCAAGGTTTCATCACAGCTTGCGATTAGCTAAAAATTGTTCACATATAACTCACAGGATCAGCTTCCTCATGCAATATGATACAATGATTTCTTCACTTCCCCAGTGTTAATTACTCTCAAAGCCTCTTTTTATATGTTTTTTTGGGGACAAAATAATGCAATTTATTAAATTTTCATTTAATGGGTGAAACTGCTGCAACAATATAACTTCAGAATTTTAAGGTTATCAAATTTGAATGATTTTGTTCACTGGATAATTATTTCAGTGTTCACAGCCTCCGACTCAACTTTTCATTTCCAGACCTAGAACCTGCTGACTCACACTATCACACATTTTTATTTTTTATTTACTAGTTTTGTTTGGTTTTTTTCCCACCCTCCACACTGAAAATATTGAAAAGAAAATCATTTCAAAAAGAGATGAAAGCACAGGTACAGACATTCTTGGAAGTTAAAAGACTAGCAATTATTTTAGTTTTATCAATAATCAGAGGCATGGCTATTGTAAACAACACATGCTGAAGAGACAACACAGCAGGACATAAGCAATCTAGAAGGTTTCTGGAGAGCATTGATGACAACTT